TTGCATCAGCACGACCGGTCGTTTTCTCAAAAACGACCGCCTCTTGTGCAGTGCTAACTTTCTACCCTCGTTGAAAGCACTGACGACGGTACAAGTGCTTGGTTCGTTAGTGTATTTTGGTGCTTTAAGAGCAAACTAACGATTAGTCTTGTCTCGTCAATAGTGTTTTCAATGAGGCTAGGAAGTTAGTACTACACAAGGCGTGGTTGCTTTCTCGGAAACGACCGGTCATGCTGATACAAGTTATAATGCACTAAGAGGCACTAACGAAGAACTAAGTGTATGACCATATAACGTCATTATCACTAGTGCTTTAATGACCGTAAACCAGAGTGAGGTATACAAATAAAACAGACCTGTTAAAGAATGAAATTTGATCAGCCCGATGTTAGGTACGAATTTTCTGGTGATAATTGAACAAACCATTTTTTTTTCAATTTTGAGAGATTTAAATGTGGTGACAATCCAGAAGTGTTATAAAAGGTGAACGTGCGTAGAAACGCAATATTGTGTCGAGAATGTTTTTTCATTGCTAAAGATTAATTAAGTTCATTAAACTTACAGTATACTTTTGGATAATACTCTGACAAAAAATTGTAATTTAATACATTCATTTGCTGTTCATTTACGTTAAAATAAAGAGATAAGATGATAAATACATTACGTCTCTAAAACAACTACTTGTTCTCTATTTATTATGAAACTTTTAACGTACCTAAACGATGCAAAATTGCAAAACGAATAGGTGTTTAAGTGGTTTCGGTCAGATTATGATAGCATATAAATAGGTAGCCATCGTCATACCGCCACATTTTTATTGCGGCTAATAAGTATGAGGCATTTTTTAAAAAGCAGTGTAATTTATGGTCCTCATCATGGTAGCAGCACAAAAGGTGTGGTTGTAAATAATGTTCACACTATATTTCGGGCTGTATTCAGAGAGGAGTGCCATTTGTCTAAGCGTCTATTAGTTTTAATTCCGACTTTTTTTTATATGTTGGGGTTGGTAATTAGATGTTTGACATTTTAAAAGCATGTTTTATACAAAATCATCATAAACGTGTATGATCATCGTAGTTCAATACAAAAAAACTTCTGCGACGTTTTCAATGACAGTTTAACAGAAATATAGGTAAGGTTCAATCTTGTGAATTATATTGCAATGTTTACTTACGGTATTCTTGGGAGATTCCGTAAATAAATAAACACAAACAAAAGAAAATAACAAGGAATTTGACGTGCAATTTACAATAATTGCGTTAATCAGATGAAGCTTTGACTTTGTACAACTGGGCCTGTAAGAAATGTTCTCGGAAAGTATAAACAGTAGATGATTATGTTTATTTTGTACTGTTTTATATGAATTCCTAGAAGTTACACATAACTTTTTAGTAACAGATAATGTTAAAATTAGTAATAAAAATATTTCAAATGAGTAACTATACACGACATATTAATTATTTGGTTTACCTCCCCAATTTGTGACCTGCACCAAAATGCCGACACCTTCATAATATTGTAAGGTCCGATTCAAATACCAACCCAGCACCCTAAGTTCATCGCGTTATCCAATTTTTACAATGGCCATTCGGTTATCATAGACAAATTTCCAAATACTCTTCAATTTCAAAAATCGCTGTAGGATAAGAAGAAAATTCTAGTTTTGAGAGCCGCCTCCAGTTTTTCTATTTGATGCAATATGGCTAGTTCCTAGTATAAAATGTAAGTATTTAGAGGAGCCCAGTCATCGGTACATCATTGAACAGTCCACTGAATTATCTGATCGGTGTTATTTGTTTTTAAATGAACAATCTTCAAATAAAACGGTTTATTGCAATTCAAAATAATATATAGTGTGTCCCCGGATGGACTGAACAAGAGAGAAAAAAATTTTAATTTTAACTTTACGCAAAAATGTCATTCTTTATAAAAATTTTTGCTTGCCTCAAAACCACCTATTCTGAAATAAAAATCTAGAATTCCTGTTAGCAGCTGAGAAAATTACAAAAAACGCAAAATCTACAGCGGAAATTTTTCTAAGTTGCATGTTTTTGATTAAATCAGACTATCATTGTATCTTCCATGGCAACCTGATAAGCAAATCAAGTTAAAAAAACACCTTAGAGCTTAAGAGAAACATTTTATTTTATTCAATGTGGTATCCTCCAACCTCTTGTTCAGTCCATCCGGGGACACACTGTATACGTCTGTTTTAGAAGGCTTGATCCTATTTACATATTCACATTTCCAATTATTTGCTTCTGAAATCTAGTATCTAATCTTGAAAACTCTGAGCTGTAAAGGAATACATTTGATAGAGAATAATGGAAAAACAACACCTCCATGTAGGTAGGTACCGATCGATGTACCGATGTGTTGGTGCACTGACGATAGAAATTAAAGTGTCTGGCGAAAATTTCCATTCCAGAACATAAGGTCTACATAATTGGCAAAATATCACGATAAACTTTTGAGTTACACATAAACTTTGTCGAAAACAGCTAGATGCAAAGGAAGATTTGTTTGTGTTAGTGTTCTCTTTCCACGTTTTTAATAAGATGATTTTTCTTAACCTCACTTTCTTAAATGAACGGCCCAAATGTATATTATGTAGAAAACATGCCTTCTGGATTGATAAATATGGAATTCTTTTCTGCTGTTGTCAATTCCAGTTGTTTCTTTGAACGCAAATGCCTCACTACTTACCTATTATTTTAGGCATGTTTCCGATAAACATTAAGGTAATTAATTAAGTAACGTTACCCCGAAAACGCTTGATTTCGATCCACGGTATCTGAATTCTGAGTGAAGATGAGGAAGGGGTCGAATATTCCTGTGAAAGGTGAATGCTTTAGCTAGAGAATAAGGCCGGGGTTCATTAAAATGTTTTGAAATAATCTTTTTTTTTTAACGGTAGCGTCGAGGGTTGTTAGGGTGCCATATTTTCAAAAAAAAAGGAAAAAAAATTTCCTGGCGTTATTGCCTAGATATTAACTCTACGAACTTATACCAATTTTTGAAATTGTTCCAACTTCATTTATAGATAAGTTATCTTGGAAAAACGACTTAAAAGTTTACCCCCTTAACGCAAAAAGATGGCTTCCGTCACGCCGCATGTTTTATATAAATAGAAAATGTGCACTATAATTGGCCTTAAGTTTATGTTTCTGCCATCGAACACAAATTAATATTATAAATGGACAAATTTGGCAAATGACAATAGGCAACTTTACATACTCCGTTCTGTATGTACTGTCCGGATACAATACGGAAACAATAATACGGACAATACGGAAAGAATAAATATAACCAATTTCTTGCAACCGTTTTCACAAACCAAGGCATTTTGTTTGGATATGATTGGTCACTTTATGCATGAAATTGTAATTTAAAGTTTCAATTACCCCGATAATTTCACGTGTGGTATTTCAGCGATTATATCATTCATACGACATTGAGCCAATCAAAACTTCCACTTTCCTTAGATACCAATGCATTAATAAGCGATTATACCCTTGACGACGTGATATAATCGATTTGGTGTTTTCGCTATGTCATTTAAAGTCAAATCTAGTATACACTATATTTGATGACAATAACAATAACTGTCAAAATAAAATTCTATTCATTATATAATCGTGTCGAATACCACTCGAGCATTACAAAATAATTTTTATACTACCTCGTAACTCGACGAATAATCCGTTGAAACACCACTCGACCTTCGGTCTCGAGGTGTTTCGGATCATTCGTCTCGTTATTCGGTAGTATAATCGATTATTTTGTATGCAGAGCTGGGTAAAGCACTCTGAGAAAGTGCTTCAAGCACCAAGCACCAAGCACTCGCAAACAGTACTTGCAAGTTCCAAGCACTAAGCCCTTTGGATTTAAAAAGTGCTTGCAATTACCAATTACTCTTAAAAAGTAATTTACAATGACAAAGCACCAAGCACCAAGCCTTTTACAACAAGCCTTCCAAGCACTGTGCTTGTACACAAAAGGCTTGCAAGCACTTTATTGCTTGCAAGCACTTTATTGCTCGAAAGCACTTTGGTGCTTGAAAGCACTTTAGGACTTGAAAACAATGTCTGGCTTATTGAAAGTGCTTTCAAAGCACTCTGGGGTTTAAAAGCACTTTGGGGATCGATACAGCAGATTAGGCTGAAGGTTGTCCGCTCAAAATAAAAGCGATATAAACATTTGCCCTCTTAGAATGAAGGTAATACAAATACAAACATATTTACCTATTTGAGAAAAAAAACTGGTCAAAGTCCTCGTTTAAATTGAAGGGCCTTCAGCGCATTTTTGGGTGGCAGATCAGTATTCTATTAAAGGGATTTAAAAAATCAGCTGTTGAAAAACATTGCCCCCGAAAAGGATCTCGACCTTCTGCGTAATGCGTAATGATAGAAACGTTCTTTATTCTTATCTTAATGATGTCATGTATCCACATCGTAATAATGATACCTATAACTTTATTAATTCATAACTTCTACCGTCTGCCGCTAGCTGCGACGTGCGTTATTACTTATTTATGTTAAGACAACCAGTTGATTTCAATACCGTACGTCGCACGACGCTTATACTTTTGCTAAATTAAGTTTTTTCGTGTTTAATGAGGGTTTTATGCTTCAAAATTGTTCGATGCCCCACTAACTCGATGCAACTGACCTAATGCAACAAATTTGAGCTCTTTACGATGTCTAGATCCAAAGTTTTTCTGGCACAGCCAGCCGGACATCAAAGCGTATGATTAAGCTACATTTTTTTTCAAAAATGCGCAAAAAATCAGATATATTATTGGTTTGGTAACAAGTTTGCATTAAATAATAAACATTTTTTGGTATATAATTTAAATAAAAAAAAAGTTCATTTGTCTGTTTACAAAAAGTCATTAGATACAATAAAAACGAACAAATTCTAACAAAATAAAATAAGAACACACTGAACACAAAAAATGCATTAAGTATTTATGATAAACTAACGTTGAAACGATAAAATTAGTTTTCATAACAGCCATTAGCTTTTAATAACACGAGGTTTTCAAAATTTGTATCAGACAATGCATGCCTTTTAGGAGCGTTGATAATCGACGCGAATGAAAACATACGCTCGACTGGAGCGCTTGAAGGAAGACTAGTATTGTATCTTATGAACAGCTTGTTAATGATGGCATAATCGTTGACACAAGTTAATGCAGAATTCGGATCGTTACTGTAACGCATAATTTCAAATTCCACTTCATTGACAAAGGTACTTGAATTTAATTCTAATTCAGTAGTCGCCTCATTGAAGTCAAAGAAATCGTCCTTTTGCGGAAATCTTACTTTGCTTCTGTCGCTAGTTTCATTTTCAGCACATACATTTTTAGCAGCCATGACAATTATCTTATTTATATCTTGTAAAGATTTTATAGCCGTATCCTTTATACCATTATACCACCTGAGCTTAAATTGGGGTATAGTGAATGCCGCAATAATGGCATTATTTGCCTCGTCTGTCAATGTTAGTAGATTTTTGAATCTAACCTTTAAACCATTAAGACATGCATCTAGAATGTGGTTGGTCTGTTTTAAATTTGCCGATTGCATTTTTACAAACTTTGTCCTTAGAGACACAATACATGGTAACAAATATCCATAATAATTATTATTTTCAGCTTGCAACTTATCTAAAGCGGTAGCAAGAGGTTCAAGAACTTTGCAGTATTCGTTCAGATAAGCAAGTTCCGATTCTTTAAGCGAGTTCTTCAAACCTAGCTTTAGAAATAATTCGCTCAGCTTGTTTTTTTCTTTTACGATTTGACTTATGGAGTCGTAATACGAGTTCCAGCGTGTCACTCCGGGATAACTTAAATAATGACCCAGTACGTCTTTTACAATCTCTGCAGATTTCGGATACGAGCATTTATTCCACAGTAAACTACACTTGGCCATAATTGCAGTATGTCTGCTTCTTGTCGCGTGATTTTTCTCAATTGCATTCTTCACATCAGTCACCGCAATTAAATTAAGTGTATGACTGGCACAGCGCTCGTGGTGAGGTAACTGTAGCATTACCGAAGTTTCCTGATTATCGCAATAATCACTATTAATTGAAACAAATGAGGGTAAAACATCGTCAATATCCTCTATTTCATTATTTTCATCAGTATTACCACTATTTGCAGTACTGCCAAGTTCATTACTGTCGAGTATTGTATGTATTTCATTCTCATTATTGACGTTTCTAAAAATTAATTCAGATGGTATGTCAATACCAAATTCTTTAAATGCCTTAATGAAATTGGCACCGTTGTCAGTTACAGTGGCAACAATTTTGTTCGAATCCAACTCATACTTATTATGAATTTCGTCTAACATTTCGGCAATCCTGTTATAAGAATGAGTTCCCTGAAATCGACGACATGCTAATGCAGCAGAATGTCTTTTCAAGTTAGAATCTAACCAGTGGCAAGTAACGCCCAAAAAACTCCGTTTTTTTGCACTCCATATGTCACTTGTGGTGCATACATATTTTACTGATTTAAGTTTGTTAACTAATGATTCCACACTATCCTCTTGCAGCCTGTTAATCTTTTGAATAGCTGTTTTTCTAGTCATAACAGTTAAGTTCATACCATCAAACAGTTTAATAAAATATTTATTTTCTACTGTATTAATGGAAGACATAGAATTAACAATAAACGTTAACAACCTCTTGTTAAATTCATCTTGGCTAACCCTTTGCCCACGATAAAAGCTAGATTCTATGGTTGTTTGCTTTTTTAAAATCCTTGCATTCTCGTTTGAACTACCTGCAGTTGTGGCACCTTCTTCTAATTTTTTTTTACATTGGTCTAAGCGAACCTTCTTGGTTTGAATGTATTTTTGGTATTTTTCTGTAAATTCACTATGTACTTTCCTTATATGTTTTAAAAAGTTGGTGGAAACACCTATAATTCCGCTTATGATATGAATCTTTGGAAGGCATAACTGACACTCGGCTTTTACCTGTCTTTTCTCCATTGCAATTAATTTATAAAACTTTCCATCCAGTGACCGAATGACAATGAACTGCAGTCTAACAAAATGAGAACTGATATGACTTAAAATGATAAATCAGCGATCTAATAAACGCAATAGCAGGTACGCGCCGCAGGCGATTAGAGTTGCACCTACCCCACTCCGTACTGGGCGAGAAGAAAAATACGACGGATTTGAGTGCTTGCAAGCCCTAAAACCCGCAAAGTGCTTGCAAGCACTTCGAAAGTGCTTTCAAGCACTGAAAGTGCTTTCAAGCACTCTGGTAGTGCTTTCAAGCACTTCAAAATGTCCACCAATCACTTCGATTACCAAAGCACTTTTAAAAAGTAATTGCAAGCACCAAGCCCTAAGCCCTTGTTTTAAAAGTAGTTCAAGCACTGTGCTTGCAAGCACTCAAAGTAATTGTAGTAATTCGCAAGCACTTTTCATGCAAGCACTACCCAGGTCNGACGCAGAAAATATACCGCCCCCCATAAGTATCTGAACACCCAGTGTACTTTGATCAATTTTGATGAAATTTTCAGGACAGTTGTATTTATTTCGAAATAAGAAACGATGAAAATTTGAACATTATACAAGTTAAAGTAACACTAATAATAATAATGCTTCCATGGCCTTCCCCTTCGCTGGATCTAACTCGTGTGGTTTATTGTAAACTTTTGCGACTTCACAGGCGTCTTTTAGAATCTTGGAACAGTGTATATCACAGGCTAGGATCGATTCACTCATTTTATGCCCACTCGAATCTCCCAAAAACCTTATCCGCTGCATGAGTTGCTAAAAGTGTTGCAATGTTTTATCGACTATCCAAAAATAGTGATTAAATAGATATTTTATAATAACCTATGAAAACAACATGTCATCTTTTCGAGAAACTTTGATCCTATCGCTGGCTTTAGGTACAGAATGTAATGTAAACAAGAATCATATTTAATAAATATATTTAATACCGAAAAACCTGGATACAAAATGAGCATGACAAGAGCAGTTCTGTTAACAAAAGAGAATAATAAATGAAAGGAGTCCCAGAAAACACAAGATAAATGATTCTCGAATGAGAAAATGCGAATGAAATGAATAGTAATGAATAGGAAATGGTTAAACAGTGAAACGCTTTATTCGCCGCAGCGTCTCTGGCAGATGAATGAGTGATAAGTGAAATGTAATTATATTTTATTGTTTTGTCGAAATGCCGCATCGAGTTTGAATAAAGTATCATTTAATCAAAAGGGCGCGCTTTCCCTATAATGAAATCATTATTTTAATAGCCCCCTTTTGGTATTACAAACGTGGACCTCGTGCTGTCCAAGTAAACGTGCGTGAAGTTTGTACTTTTTAATATATAAATATTTAAAGCACGTTCATTTCATATTATAATTTACTTCCTACTTGTAACGTACGTACCTTTGTTGAACTAAGCTTTTAGCTACTAAGCCATCTGTCAACTTCAAAAAATTTAAATCGGTTCTAATAATAATTCTCCTCTTTTAAATAACTAAATACAGTTATCGTCACAAGTCTCTTCGTGTTTTATATCTATAGCAGATTTATCACTCTCCAGGATTTGACATGATTAAAATTCGAGTTTACAGAATTAGAGGATACATCGTCCTACGGTTAACAAACTCCATCGCTCAATAGCTTAACTAAATCTGGAACTAAGTATTCTTTTACATTTACATCAACTTAATTATTCAAATTGACTTTCATAGCTATCTGATTTAAAACTGGAGAACACACATTTGTTTGTGCGCTTTTCGGAAATTTGGGTTATTTTTATTTTCAGAGTTAATTGTTTCATCACTATTGTGTAAAGACGGAAATTAATGACGAACTATTACTCTCCACACGCTACACAAAAACTAATAACTCCCAAATAGATATTCTGTTCTGGTCTCTAATTCTTTTACTGTAACGTTTTTGATTGACGATAATAAATTTGAAGATGTTACAAATGCTAATATGCTGTAGTGTTTTAAATTTAAACTAGGGTATGTATTTGAATTTCACCTTCGATACTGTATATAATGTATATACGAGTAGCTTACTTATAAATAGTAATGTTCGTAATAGTTGGAATATTTGCGTAGTAACATACGTCCTTCACCCATTGAAGATCTTCATTTACTTAACTAATTGATGTTTGTGTCAAGTGTCTTCAAGGATTTTTAGAGTGTGACTTCTGGAAGTGGAAACCCTTACCATAAATGATCTTTAGATAAATCATTAAAATAGCTTAATATTTTTATTATTTAGTCCATTTTCTCCTTTGTCACGTAAAAAGAATTTACTATATAAATCTTTCATTTTCAATAATATTTATACCAAATCAAATCTCGTAGTAATATTAATATTGGTTTAGTAAGATAACATTAATTACGAGTAACAAGTTTTGAAAAACGGAAAATTATGAGTAAATAGCATGAACAGATTCAGTATTTTTTTCTCTAAAAAAAAATATTTAAACTTTTGCTCTAAAATAATTAGGGGAGCTAGTAATTGACTATAAAGAAATTACCATTGAAATCCCTATGCTGCGTCGCGCTAGGCACCACCCGGTATGTCAACAACTATATGACAGATAGGTACGCAAATCTTAAATGCGTTGAATTCACAATGAAATGGCGTATTTAGAAAGAAATAGAAAATGGTATGTTTCTATTTTAAACAAACCAAGATGGCGCCTACTTCTAGTACTTACGGAAGCGGTGCCGTCTTGAACTTATAACTCTCGCCAGGAAAGATTGCCGGTCACAGCACACCTTGTGTCGATCTACAATCTACGTTTTTCTTAAGATGCGAGCGACTTCCGGAATAAAATCGTGCCAATGTTGAACAAAAATACTTTTCGTTCAACATTGGCACGATTTTATCCCGGAAGTCGCTCACATCTTTAGAAAAACATAGATTGTAGACCGGGATCAAGTGTTCTGTGACCGGCAATCTTTCCTGGCGAGAGGTTTATATTTTAATTCAATTCGCAATGATCGGTTATGCCTGTGAACAAAATTTTTCTATTTCAACTACAAGTTTAAAAACATCTACGTGAATCTCCCTGTAGGTATACATTTTTTTTGTGACTGGCGAAATCATCAAAAAAGACTTGCAACACCTCATAACTCATAGAAAAGAGACTTTCTTTTTAATCTTCATTCATTCCGAAAAATTACTAAAATGTATCGTAACATTAATATATGAGAAAGAAGCACTGTCTAACCAGAATTAATCATTAATCACTTTGATAAAGTGAACTTCGTTTTTAAATAAGAAACATATCCTTCATTTTAAGGAACATGTATCTCAACAAACCAAAAGTTCTCTCTAATAATTTAGTCGCCCTCACTTTTTTATTGGAGAGCGCCTCTGTTGTGAAAGATATCTTGATTAAAAAATTAGAGTTAAATGATACAGATTCTTAAAAAATATAATGAAACTATCATACAACTTTGAAGGCAGTAATTTATCTAATAACAATAACCAACAACACAAACTATCTATTTTAATCAGAAAAAATAAATAAAAACGGTTCCCCTTTGATTTTGAACAAAGTAACATAGGGCTAATCGTCATCTAATAATGAGCCACAGCATGCTCATAACGGAATGCGGAATGCAATAACAAATTAACATTTAATTACTGCTAGCAGCAGTGCAGGTATAGGTCCGTGAAGTTACACGGTCGTACATGCACTAACCGCCGGTACATGATCTCATCATTAATGCTTCCTTAGTGCCTCTTAGTGCTTTATAACTTGCATCAGCACGACCGGTCGTTTTCTCAAAAACGACCGCCTCTTGTGCAGTGCTAACTTTCTACCCTCGTTGAAAGCACTGACGACGGTACAAGTGCTTGGTTCGTTAGTGTATTTTGGTGCTTTAAGAGCAAACTAACGATTAGTCTTGTCTCGTCAATAGTGTTTTCAATGAGGCTAGGAAGTTAGTACTACACAAGGCGTGGTTGCTTTCTCGGAAACGACCGGTCATGCTGATACAAGTTATAATGCACTAAGAGGCACTAACGAAGAACTAAGTGTATGACCATATAACGTCATTATCACTAGTGCTTTAATGACCGTAAACCAGAGTGAGGTATACAAATAAAACAGACCTGTTAAAGAATGAAATTTGATCAGCCCGATGTTAGGTACGAATTTTCTGGTGATAATTGAACAAACCATTTTTTTTTCAATTTTGAGAGATTTAAATGTGGTGACAATCCAGAAGTGTTATAAAAGGTGAACGTGCGTAGAAACGCAATATTGTGTCGAGAATGTTTTTTCATTGCTAAAGATTAATTAAGTTCATTAAACTTACAGTATACTTTTGGATAATACTCTGACAAAAAATTGTAATTTAATACATTCATTTGCTGTTCATTTACGTTAAAATAAAGAGATAAGATGATAAATACATTACGTCTCTAAAACAACTACTTGTTCTCTATTTATTATGAAACTTTTAACGTACCTAAACGATGCAAAATTGCAAAACGAATAGGTGTTTAAGTGGTTTCGGTCAGATTATGATAGCATATAAATAGGTAGCCATCGTCATACCGCCACATTTTTATTGCGGCTAATAAGTATGAGGCATTTTTTAAAAAGCAGTGTAATTTATGGTCCTCATCATGGTAGCAGCACAAAAGGTGTGGTTGTAAATAATGTTCACACTATATTTCGGGCTGTATTCAGAGAGGAGTGCCATTTGTCTAAGCGTCTATTAGTTTTAATTCCGACTTTTTTTTATATGTTGGGGTTGGTAATTAGATGTTTGACATTTTAAAAGCATGTTTTATACAAAATCATCATAAACGTGTATGATCATCGTAGTTCAATACAAAAAAACTTCTGCGACGTTTTCAATGACAGTTTAACAGAAATATAGGTAAGGTTCAATCTTGTGAATTATATTGCAATGTTTACTTACGGTATTCTTGGGAGATTCCGTAAATAAATAAACACAAACAAAAGAAAATAACAAGGAATTTGACGTGCAATTTACAA